AAATAGACTGAAATTATGAATGATCTCAGGAAGAAAAAAACTTGAAGAGGTGAATAAGTAGATAAATCAATAGGGAAAACAATGTCAACATAACTAAATATGGCCTCCAGATCTAGGAAACAAGTTCAGCCATCTGTGAATAAGTACTGTAAAACAAAGGAAAATGATTCAGCAGTCAACAAGACAGAGGATTCTGTGGAATGTGAGGAGAACATGGAACCACAACACATTGTTCCTGAGTAGTTTAAAAGAGAAACGAGAATTATGAGAGAAGAATATATGGCCTGCACTGCAGAAATAATGGGCAGAAAAGAAAAACTGAAAACAGAAGAAAGAACAATAGATTGGCAATACAGGTGTAGAGAAGTGAAGGATAATCTAGAAGAAAAGAAGCAAAAACCAGTAATATCAAAATAAAATATGCTCACTATATAAGCAAAACATATTGATCTTGAAGACAGGATATGTAGAGACAAGCTAAGTACGATAGGTCTCTCAGAACGCAATTGTTAAAAAACAAAAAAAAAAACCTTAACACCAAAATGCAAGAAATAATGGAGAACTGTCCAGAATTTCAGAACATAAAAACTGAATTACCAATTGAAAGAAATCATAGATTATCTCTAGAAAAAAAAAGCCCAAGACTGCTAACTCCAAGATATATCATAATCAAATTCATCAATCAATTCAGAAATAATCAATTCTTCAAACAATCTGAAAAAAGATCCTGAAATCCAAAGGAAAGGAAATTATAGTAATGCAAGACATTCTATACCAACCAGAAAACATAGAAAGGAATATGGAAGAATGTGTTCCAAAGAGCAGTAGCAGTCAGAATGCACCTCAGGGTGACCTACCCTGAAAATCTGAACTTAATGTTAAATTAAAAAAAAAGTTAACCAACAAAGAGATGTTTGAAACATTTTTAGAAGGAAAACTAGAAATGACAAGGTCATTTGCTTTTCAAACACCTCAAACAGCAGAAGTACAGGCCGAATAAATAGAAGCCAAGGTCAGGAACAGAAACAGAGTAACAGCAGAGAGACTTCTTTCTAAATACGCAAAAGGAGAGAAAGAGGTTAAAGCAGAAGTTCAGCAGAGGTAACTGTGAAGAGGCAGGCCTGGAATGTTATAGACACAATCTGTTGAAACCTCGCCTACATATGAATTAATTATTGTTCTTGTACTTAAGTTACAACATGGATTAGCACATAAAATGGGGAAGGGAAACGAGGGGGACAGACAAGAGTGTGATGTGCAGGAATCAAATGAAGGGCTATCAATGAAGTGAAAGTAACACTATAGTCTCAGAAGAAGAGCCTTCGGTATAGTGGGTGAGGAGGAAAGGGAAAGGGTGTGGGAGGGATTAAGGAGGCCTTGCTTCGGTAATGGGAAGAAGGGGATCTACTGATGAATGTGCCTATGGATGAAGAGAGATAGTCTGTGAAAAGAGATGGAGACATGTTTTGGGTGTGATTTGGGTGGTTTGGTGCTTGAAAAGTCTACTCATCCCACCTTGGGGCAGAAGGAAGTTGGAGCTCCTGGGGGCAACTGGCACATGAGGAAGTGGGAGAGCATGAACCCAGGGAGGAGATTTTGAGGTAAATGGGGGAAAAGAGGAAGCAGTGGCAATATTGATCAGCTGTGGTGTATATAATCAGGAATGTTGTGCAGAGGGAAAGGGGGAATACATGGGACAAGCTTTTCAAGACAAGTACAAAAATTACCTTCCCTATTGAGAGGAGCTTAGAAAGGATACCTTGGAATTTTTAATACATGAGAAAAACTGAAAATAAAGACCAGATAATTATAGAGGGGTCATGAATCAGAGAATGAGGGTCTAGAGTAGACGGAAAGGAACACTAGATAATGAGAGTTAGAAAAATCATTTTTACAAAGGGGAGCAAAAATTAAATTAAAAAAAAGCCCGATGAACATGACTAGTTGAAGGCAGGGGGAAGGGGAAATTGAGAGGGAAAAGAAGGAGTGGGGAGAAAACACTTCTAACTAACTATATATGTATATATATGTGAAACTATACACACACACAGATACACACACATACAGATAACCAGGAGAAAAAAAAGTAATTGGTAAGGAAAGGGTAACAAATGAATAACTGGGATCAGAGACAAGTGAAAGAGAGTCAATGGGAATTGTGCCACCTTAAAGATTAAGATTAAGGTAAAAAGGTTAAGATAAATTAACTGAAGGACCACAGCACTGTGTTCACAGAAGAGTAGGGAAAACATACCCCAGTATTAGAGACAAATGCAAGAAAATGTAGACCTAGCTCGCATAACTATAAACATGAAGGGATCAAACAATCCAATAAAATGGGAAAAAGCCACACACTGAATAACAAAACAAAACCCTATAATCTACTGCTTGCATGAAATGCATTTAAAACAAATATATACACAAAATAAGTTGAAAGGATGGAAAAAAAATACTATGCATCAAGTTAGTTCAAAAAGGCAAGAGTTGCAATTATGTTTTCTGGCAAAGCAAAAACAATTATTCAAAAAATAAGAAAGGACAAAGAAGAAAATTGCACTGTGCTGAAAAAAAACATAGACAAGAAAGCAATATGTATAATAAACATATGATCCAAATGCCTTAGCATCCATAAAAGAAACATTATTTGAGCTTCAAGAAGACATATACAGTAATACAATAGTTCCAGGAGACTTCAATATCCTTCTGTTGATTTTGGGTAAGTCTAACAGAAAGATAAACAAAAGGGAAGTTATAGAACTGAACAAATTGCTAGAGTAAGTTAAAATGACATGAGGTTTTCTAAATGGGATTATAAAAGAATATACATATTCCTCAATATCACAAGAAACTTTTACAAAAATTGACCATGTACTAGGCAACAGGGATATTGCAAACAAATGTAAAAAGGCAGAAATAGTTAACAGAATCTTTACAGACTACAACAATAAAAATAGTGATTGGTTTAAGAACCACAAACAAAACATACAGACTCAAATGGAGACTCAACAATGAAATCATAAATAATGACTGGACCCAAGAACAAATCACAGGAAAAAATGACTATGTAAAACAAAATGATATTGCTTAAACAACATATCAGAATTTCTGGGATGCAGCTAAAGGAATCTTTGGGGGAAAATCACATTTCTTACAACCATATACTACTAAAATAGAAAAGAAAGGATTAATGAACTAATGTTCTTTTTTTAAAAAAATTAGAAAGCCAACAAATAGATAAATTTAAATAAGGAAATGTTAAAAATTGAAGGGGATGTAGACATGTTGGGAAGAAAAAAAGCATAGAAAACTATAAATAAAACTAAAAGCTCTTTTTTGAAAAAAAAAAAACTAATACCATTCTTAAGCCCTTAGCTAACCTGATTAAAAAAAGAGGAAAGCAGAAAATTAGATCAATAAAATAACAAATAAACAAGATGAAATTACCAAAAAAAGAGAAGAAATATAAAGATTAATCAGAATAAATCATGCACAATCATATGCTAACAAAACAGAATTGCAAAGTATTAAAAACCACATGAAAAAATGTTCCAAAATCACTATAGCTATAAGAGAATTGCAAATCAAAATAACCCTGAGTTTTCTCCTCACACTGTGCAAATTGGGGAAAAAAAGGCCACAATCAATACTGGATGGGTTGCAGAAAGACAAATATAGTAATTTATTGTTGGTGGTGCTGGGAATAGGTAAAACTATTTTGGAAAGTAATTTTTCAATTATGCAAATAAAGTGAATAAAATGTTCATACCCTTTGAGCCAGAGGTTTCATGTAAACTATTGATAAGAAGACAGGCCCCATATACACAAAATATTTATAGCAGTGCTTTTTGTGATATGAAAGAATTGGAAACAATTTAAATGCCCATCAATTAGGGAACGATTAAACAAATTTTGGCATATGTGTGTAATGGAATATTACTGTGATGTAAGAAGTAATGTGTGGGTGTAGCTAGGTGGCACAGTGGATAGACCCCTGGCCCTGGAGTCAGGAGGACCTGAGTTCAAATCCAGCCTCAGACCAAATACTTGACGCTTACTAGCTGTGTGACCCTGGCCAAGTCACTTAACCCCAATTGCCTAAAAAAAAGAAAGAAAGAAAAAGAAAAAAAAGAATTAGTGTGTGATAAATACAGAGAAGCATGCATATGTACAGATACAGAGTGAATTAAGCAAAACTAAGGAATCAACTACAAAAATATAAATGGAAAATACAACTACACATCAAAAAATCAACACAAGTTAATAATCTACACATAATGATATTGTCCAAATATACAAATATATAATCTGTGTATAATTTGCATGTTTGCTCCTCCACTATGTTGTGGGCTTCTAGTAATAAATGTTTTTGCCTTTCTTTATATGCCCCAGTGCTTGGAAATATAGTGGGTACTTACTAAATCTTTCGTGACTTCGCTTGATTAGATAATACACGAAAGGCATAAATAAGTCTTACTTATCTTCTTTGGAGCAGACTTTTGAGAGGACAAACTATAATGATTGTGGAAAACTTGTGGTCTATTTGTGAAGCTTATAGTACTACTCCCTTTTTGGGAGGATTTTTTAGAAAGGATTTTGTGGACAGGAACAAAAAAAAATTAACTATTTGTATACTGCTGAGCTTCATATTATGATATTTAAAGAACCTAAAAGGAAACTCACAGTAGTATTTAAGCTAATTTACTGTTGAAGAGAAAATCCCATGATTAGTAAAATTAATAAATTTCACTAATTAGTAAAAAATAAAGATTTACTAAAACTTTAACTTTTGGAGTTCTGTTGCTATTTTAGCAACTAAAACTTGGCACTTTATCAAACAAAAAACTGCAAAAGATATTTTAATGAAATTTGTTATGGGTCAGTGTCTTAAAATTTTTAAATAAATAAAAATTTTAAATGCATGGATAAAGGGAATGTGGAAGTGTTCTTTGAAACATGTTAAAAATGCATACTTATACCCTGCTTCATTCAATGTCTCTCAGTTGTGGCAGACCATATAATCAGGGGAACTCTGCTGGTGGGGCACTAGGAAGTGGCAATGTAGCTGCACGTTCACCAAACAGAACAGGTAATTCTTTTGCATTTTTTTTTTAGAATATTGTGGAACTACAATTTGATCTCAAAAACAAGTATTTTGAGAGCTACCTATCTTACCTTATTGCTTCCTGAAAATTTTCAATGCGAGCAAGCATCCAAGAAGAATACTTAATGACTCAACTACCAATCAATAGACATTGATTGATTGACTATTATGTACCAGGAACTGAGCTAGGCTTACCTGGCCAGGCAAACACTGAGCTAGACTTACATAGCTAGGCAAGTTTGCAAAGGACCTTTGTGATGTGGCCTAGGTAATTCTACATATTGGTGCTATAAATTCCCAGGAACAAATATTCTGCTTCCATCAAAAAGATCTTAAAGGTATTAAGGTTTATATGAGGATGCTATTTGGCCACGTAGAGTTGCAATTCAGGATGCTTTGCACATTATATATTTGATTGAGAGGTAAATTTTATTGTCTCTAGTATCTGTGAATTTTTTTTTTTAATTTTTAGTTCTAACACCCAGGATAAAAAGGGAAGAAAACATTGGAGGTAAAAAAAAAGAGAAATATCTGCCGTGCCCATCATTTGTCAATTGGTGGCAACATTTACGTAGAATCAGAATGTTTGCCTTCCTAAATCTCCATTTGTTTATTGCAGTGGTATGAATCTCAACTAGAAATGGGATTCCTAACCTGTACCTCTAGGGGCTGCATATTAACTGAAAAAAACAGATATTGGCATTACCTGTGTTTTATTGCATCTTTATTTGCTTTGTTAAATATTTCCCAATTGTATTTTAATCTTGTTCTGATAGAATTTGGAAATGTTGTGGGCTGGGTGTTTGACACCTTTTATCATACACTGAAAATGGAGAGAGAACTTTTTTTTTTTGAAAATCACTACTTCTGACCACAATACCCATTTACTTGTAACTCTCATTTCACTTCCAAGATTGGTGGAAGTCTTTTCAGGCTTTTTTAGTATATTTCCTCCAAATATTTAGGATAGTCTTTTTACATGCCATCCATTTGTTTCTATCTTGTCTATAAGACATGAGTAATTGGGAAAGAACTTTTCAGTTTGTTTTATTCAAGTCTTATAATTTATTGTTTTAGATTAACAACAAGAAAACTTAGAATCATGTTTGTTTTAAATTGGGCATTGACAACTGCCATGTTATTTCATTTTTTCAGTTCCTTAGTATGTTGTAAAACATCTATTTTATGTTTTCCCAGCTTTTCATATAATATGGAATAGCAGACTGTTTCTTAGAGTGCAAAGAATCCAAGATGAAGTTGTGCCTTTGTAGAATTTTAATGATCCCAATAGATGTTAGTGGAAATTCAATAGAAATATTTTTTTTCTACTTTTTCTTTTGTAGAAACTATGGACAGGTTTTTAGATGACATAGCTATGTTCAAAAAAGAAATAAGTTGCTTTGTTTCAATATTTTTTTTCTTTTATAGATTATAATACTTTCCAAAAAGTTGCTTTTATTGATAAACATTTTTCTCTAAAGAAAGTTTTCTAGTTATATGACAAGAACAAAATTGGGCCTTTAAATGTCACAGTGTGATATTTTAATTTGGATAGGCTACTTAAATGAGCAAGTTTTCAAACTAAAGAATAAACTCTGTGTGTGTGTGTGTGGTGTGTGTGTGTGTGTGTGTATGTGTGTGTGTATGCACATTGTGAATAGGTTATGAAAACTGATCCCCATTCTCTTAGAAAGATATCTTGGTTATCCCCTATTTTACTCCTGTTGCTACATAGATCATTTTAATCACTCTGTCTGTGGCCATGATGTTTCTTTGTTCTATACTTGGCCAGTTTTTGTTTGGTTGAATATCTAGTATGTGCTGAACACAGCTGTAGGTGTTGGGGTTACAAAGACAAGTGTAGAACAGCCTCTGCCCCAAGAAACCAGTATTTTCTCATGTCAAGAAGCATGTCCAAATTGGAGTATATACAGAGTAAATATAAAGTAAATACAAAATAATTTTGGGAAGGAGGACCCTAGCAGTTGGAGATGGGGGGTTAGGAAACAATTTCATGTATAGGATAGAGCCTGTGCCCAATCTAGGACAAAATTAAGGATTCTAAAAGGTAGGGGGGAGGAGGGAATACATTCCAAGTACTGAGGACAGCTACAGAAGACACAAAAGCAATACAAAAGTAACACAAAAAGCATAGAGTAATGAGAAAAGACTTTTCTTTTTCTCTTTTTTCCTTTTTTGCCAAATACAAGGAAAATGTACTGTCCATGCAGATAGTAATTTTATGACCTCTATCCTTCCTTACCATATCAGAGGATAAACTACAGGGTCCTCTGCTTAGCACTGAAAGCCCTTCTAAATCTTAGTACAGCCTTTCCCCCCCCACCAGGTGTTACTCTTTCATGATTGCACTCTATATTTTTGCAAACTAGTCTGTTTACTGGTCTTTGAACTTGTGTAAGAAATGATTATTTCTCTCTGGTATTAATAACTAATTATTCAATCAAAACCAAGATCCTTCCCCTTTTCTACGTCCTCATCCAGGAATCAAACAGTGTGGGAAATCTTTTTGAAATATTTATCCAGGGCAAAATATAATTAGACAGTAATATAAATTCTAAGTTTGGGCTAATAGGTGCATTCCTACTCATTGTGTTTGTTCACATAGGTTTGGTAAGTGTTGATGCACCCTTTTGTCAGACAGATGATATGAAAATTGATGTTTATTTGACCAAGACTTGGGTGATTCAAGTCATGTACCACAAGACCCTCATTGTAATAAAGCTCACCCTCTCATTGCAAAATTAATTCTCTCATTGGTTGTTAACCAGTCAGAGTTTTGTTTTGCTGTTGCCACCCTCAGGAACACCTACTCTTCAAAGGACATGTAAACTGTGAGACCACTGCCATTAGGGATCTTTAGTCTGAAAGAGATGGATAAATGATCAGCCTTTTATTAATAAACATGCTGGCCTCATTAATAAAATGATTAAATTACTCAGAAATTATGTCTCTTAGAACATTTTTTTAAACATCACACTTAGCATTCCATCTTTTCTCTGTCTTTACACAGGCATGACCCCAATGTCTGGAATGCACTCTCTCCTCATGTTTCCCTCTTAGTATCACTAGCTTTTTATGAGGCTGAGCTCAAGGATGACCTTTTAAAAGAAGCTATACTGATTCTCTTCATTTCTTTCTCACCTCATTGTTAGTTCACCCCCTTCCACAATACTTTGTATTTACTTTGTACAGATTTGTTATTTACTTTTCTGTGTACTTTTGTACTCTTTCAGTTGAACACAAGCTCCTTCAGGGCAGAAATGGTTTGGTTTTTGTCTTTGTATCTCCTATACCTGCCACATAAGAGGTATTAAATGCTTTTTGAATGAATGAACTATGAAAGAGGTCTGGAAAAGCCACTGTTGTGAGTATGAGTCAATAAGAAGACAGAAAAATAAAGGGAAATTTACAGTTATAAAAATTTAGTCATTTTAAAAATTGGAAACTGATATAAGCAAATCATCAATCTTTATAGAATTTGAATATATTTGCTGAGGATACAGATAACAGAGAAGTTTTTGACTGTCCTGTTTTCTAAGGTCCTAATTCCTGGCTTTTTCTTATGTTTATGCATGAACAAATTAAGAGAACATTATCTTGGCATTTGGAGTTGCTGTTTGACCTTGAGGGAAAAGATAAATCAAATGAGACCCAGTATTTCATTGTTATTAAAATAAGCAGTTCTCTCCTTGTTGCAGATGACACAGCTCAAGTGACTTCTGACTATGAAACCAATAATAACAGTGACAGCAGTGATATTGTCCAGAATGAAGATGAGCAAGAGTGCTCTAAAGATTCATTGAGGAAAGAATCTCAACACAGCTCATATATCCCTGAAACCATCGTATTTATGGTAGCTTCATATCACATCATTTGTTCATTTGTATTTCTTCATTTTGCTTTGTAATTCTAATTTAGAAATTAAGATGCAGTACACAATTTAGGGCAGACTTGAAAATACTTTAAAAAATCATTCTTCCTATAAAATTGTATTGGACTTTAACAATTTTGTCTGAGAGATGAAAGATTTTCCCATCAGTTGGCTAAGAGCAGAAATGTCTATCTCTAACAAATGCTCTGAGTAATCTCTCCTTCCATCTTTTTAAAAGTACAAATACTTCTGGGAAAATCTACTCAATAAATATATACTTTTAAATGTTTTACTGGTTCTTTTAAAAAATCTTGGGGTTGGGGCAGGTAGGTGACATAGTATTTAGAGCACTGGCCCTGCACTCAGGATGACCTGAATTCAAATCTGGCCTCAGACACTTACTAGCTATGTGACCCTGGGCATGTCACTTAACCTAAATTGCCTGCAAAAAAATCTTGCTGACACTTCCTAGTGATCCCTACCCCCCTAGAGCCCTCTCTTGAAATAAAGAATTACAACTAAGCAAAACAAATCAGTACATATACCATGTTTGACAATGTATGCCTGCTCTCATAACTGGGCTTGGAGTAAGTATGCTTCACCAACAATTCACTGAAGGCATGATTAGTCATTGTAATGATCAGAATTCTGGTGTTATTTTCCTTTACGTTAATATAGTCATTATGTAAATTATCCTCTTGGTTCTGCCCAATGCACTCTGAATCACTTCATGCAAATCCTTCATCATCCCAGCTGTTTTAAATTTTATTATTTCTCAAAGTACAGTAATATCCTATTAGATTCTTATGGAACAATTCAGATATTTCTCAATTGATGGACACACTTTGTTTCTAGTTCTTAGTTTAAAATAAAAAGTGCTGAAAATAACATTTTTGTATATATAGCACTTTGTCTTTTACCCTTTTAGAGGTATTTACGTAGTAATAATATCTCTGGGTGTTTACAATTTAGTGGCTTTTCTGGTTATGATACCAAGTTATTTTCTGGAGTGGTTGAAATGATTCCCAGCTCAACCAACAGTTGATTAACATATCTCAATAAATGATTTTAAATTAAACAAAAAAGAATTGGGGGGAGAGGTAAAATACAAAATTTCTTAAGGTCTTCTGCTTTTTTTCATTGGAATAGTCTTGATTTTTGATCAGCATTAGACATTTGGACAATCTTTGCTTTCTTGGCTACAACAAATCATGTTTATATTGTCATTTTCTTTTAAGTGACTTATCATTCTATTCCCTATTTGTTATTATATGTCATAAATGTCTCTAAAATTCTAGTGTTAACTTTTTTTTCCTTATTGGAGTTATAGTTAAACAAAATAAAGAATATCATACTTGAGTCAGTGTGGTATAGCAGAGAGAGTAGATCAATGGACTAGGAATCAGGAGACAACAGTTCTAGTCCCAGCTCAGCCAATACGTAGCTGGTCGACCTAGGTTCTTTAATTTTTCTGTGTTTCTATTCAATATTTAAATGAAATGAAGGGAAGGTAGAAGACTAAGTGATCTCTAAGACCTCCTCCAGGTCTAATATTCTGTAATATTTGTTGCTAAATGATTGATCATTTTTTCCCTGTCATCTTGCTACCTAATTACATTTAAATGTCAAATTAAAATGATATTCACTTTACTTGGCAAGTCAAATCAGTTTTTGTACTTTTAAAATGATTATATAATTGCTTTTATCCTTTTTTGGACCACACTTTAAATATAGGAATGATAGCCCTGGCCAGGGATGGAATGTGCCTATCCATGCTGGTAAGAATTCATATGCTTAGTGTCTTACCAATTTAACAATAATTTTTTTTAAACTGAAAAGGATGATAAAGGAGAAAATTGCCTAAGTATCTATCAACTACATACCATAGGAAGAAACTATAATGTAGGAACAGTTGCTTTTGAAACAATCAGAAGCCCACAGGAGAAATAAAAGAAAGTAGCCAATAGTGAAACCCAATGTAAAAAAAAATACATGTATATAAATATCCAAAATGTAGGCAGTAAACAAATGAAACAGACACTAATGCAAATCAAACCTTGTGCAATAGATATAATAAATACCATTGAGATTTGGTGGGTTGAGGCTTATAACTGGAATATACCTCTGGATAGGTTACACTTTATTAAAAACAAGCGAGATAGGTAGAAGGGGCTGTGGTGCTATTGTATATGTAGAAAATATATTCATGAGAAAATCCAAGAACCAAAACTGTTGAAATGTGATAGAGAGTATTAGGAAGGGAGAGGCAAAAAAAGATTTTATCATCAGAACATATTATAACTGTACAGTAAGAGGAAATAGTTGAGAAGAAGAGTATTTATAGACTCAACACTTTTTCACTTCTTTTAAAACCTAGGTCATTCTTCTTAGATCCTATAGTACCTATCCCATTCTCTCTGGTCTTTCAATAACTACCAATATTGGCTTAGCAACCACGTCTGCCAATGTTTTCAAGACTCTTGAATGTAGTTCATTTGGGCCTTGTAGCAGAAACTCACCAAGGGCAATGAGGCTTTCTTTCACTATCTCCTTGCTTATTTTAAATTTTGACTCTCTAATGACCATTTTTTTCCTATAATTTCCAGTCCAAACATTGTTTCTCTTTGGATGAGAAAATAGAAACAAAATAAAAGTTAGTTAAAATGTAGAACTATTAATTGGTTGTCATTGGTAGATCTGCGGAGAACAGTGGCCATATCCCATTGATACTTCTCTTTTCTTCCAGTATAACTTGGGGGGAAAAAATCCCTATATTGTCTTTATCTTTCACTGTCATCCATTAATTCAAAACTTTAGTGTCCCTGACAATAACTCTAAAGGATAATACCATGCTATTCAAATGCTATTTGCATTCATTCATCATTACCTGCTCTGAATCTTTTATATGTCTTGAAATTTTATGTTAGATATGACTACTAGGTCTGTTTATTAAATAGTTTTTTTTAAGGAAAAATATTTATAGTAGCTCTTTTTGTGGTGCAAAGAATTGGAAATTGGGGGGATGCACATCAATTAGTAAATGGGCTGGAAAAGTTGTGGTATATGATTGTAATGGGATACTATTGCACTATGTGAAATGATGAGCAGGATGATTTTTACATGAACTGATACAGAGCAAAGTGAGCAGAACCAGGAGAACATTTTACAAAGTAGCAGTAATATTGTATGATGACCAATTGTAAATGACTTAGCTATTCTCAGCAATACAGTGATCCAAGAAAATTCCTAAGGACTCATGATGGAAAATGTTATCCACATCCAGAGAAAGAACTGATGAAGTATGAATGAAGATCAAAACATACTATTTTTTACTTTAATTTATTTGTGGGTTTTTTTTGTCTGTGGTTTCTTTCACAAAATGGCTAATATGGAAATATGTTTCGCATGATTGCACATGTATAACCTATATTAAATTTCTTACTGTCTCAGGGAGGGGGGAGTGGAGAAAGGGAAATATAGAATTTGGAACTCACTTTTTAAAAAGAATGTTAAAATTGTTTTTACATGCAGTTGAGAAAAAATAAAACATTTAAAAATAAAATTTTTTTATTCAATTAACTCCCAGTGTATCCATGAAAGTTTCTTTAGATAATTCCACATTCCTCTTATGTCAGAATTGTTTTTTTTCCTTTGTGTTCCTACCCTTTAAGCTATGTTCCTTTGAGTTTCCTATCTCTTCTTGGTTGGCTTCTCTTGTAGAATATTAGATATTGGGATCCTTTTGATCTTTTCTTCAAATGCTTTCAAATCTGTCTTCCAGAATTCTAACATAGAGTGATCACTCACACACAAGCTTTGTTATTGTGTCAGAATAGTACACAAAATAACATTTCCCTTCACTGTTTTCATTACCTTTTGAAGAATGGAATTATATTTAAGGCTAGCCAAGAAATTTTAGCCTCTCCACTTTGGTCAGGTAGAGAAACCAGTATCATACTTCAATGGCAGGCTGTTTCTGAAATGCCTCATCTATATTTCCTTCTTCTCAGGTGGTCTGTAAAATATTAAAATGTTTTTGTTTCTTTCTACATTGATACTAAGCCTAATTCTCTCCAGTCAGTATATTTCTTCTGGTATCCATCTGGTTCCTGAACATTTTCACAGGAGTGTATCTTTTTAATATCTAATGCTTTTCTGCACTCTCTTTTGCTTGTTGTATTTAGCCTGTATTAGGCACCTGCTTTGTGCTATGTACCATACTGGGTAATTGGATATACATACAAAGACTGAAATAAAACAGTCTCTGCCTTCAGGAAACTTGTACTCTATCAGAGAGCAAATATATCCTCCATAGATGTATTTCACCTCTAAGTTCCATACCAAAAAGTCTCAAAATTAGCTAGGAGGTAAATTTATCAGTTTGCATCAGGAACTTTTGTTCACTGTGCTTGTCACCTAGGCTTTATAAACTTGAATCTCTAAACCAATGGGTTTTAATCCTTGTTCCTTTCTTGGTTTTTGTATCCTGTAAAGTTTTAGACCTCTCTACTACTTTTCTTATTTCTACATAATAATCATGGTCTGTGTCTCTATGTCACCTAGCATGGGAGAAGGACCTTGGCAGTTTTTTACCCTTCCATTTAATGTAAAACCCCTTTTGAAAAACTCTAGTAAAATACTTCTTTTTAACCAGTCCATTCTATCCTAGCACAGAAGTCTATCATTCCTTTAATTTGTGATCCAGAAATCCCATTCTTAATCACTCATATATAGGTAACATCCAAGGAATAGCTGGTGTCTATCATTATTCCCATTTTACAGATAGAAAAGCATACTCATGGGGATGCATTAATGTAAATTTGAATATTCAAATTAAAATGCAGTGCCGTCATCATCTTATAAAGGGAATATTTAGTTATTATGTCTTATAAATGCCTGGTTTAGCACTAGATATTATGTAAAACAAGTTTAAAGGTATCTGCCTACATAGGGTTCATCTGATTATAATATTTGTTATTCAGATTCTTAATTTAAAGTTTTGGGTCCCCTAGTATTTTAAATGAAGAGTTGAAAACTTTGCAATTTTGAATCATCACTTGAATAAATGTACCTTCATTTTAAAAATACCGACATAATGTATGAGACTTTTTAAAAATAAAACCATATGCCAATAAAATATTTTCTTCTCTGATCTTTATAGCCAGATAAGCCTATTCTTGCTCCAGAGCCTCTTGTCATGGATAACTTGGACTCAATAATGGAAAAACTAAATACTTGGAATTTCCCAATCTTTGATTTGGTGGAAAAGATAGGGAAAAAATGCGGCCGAATTCTGAGTCAGGTAAGAATATAATAGCTAGCATTTATATAGTACTTTAAGGTTTGCAAAGCTCTTGGATGTTATCTTACTTGGTCCTCATAACAATTCTGTGAGGTAGGTGCTTTTATTGTTTCCATTTTACAGATGAGGAAATGGAGGTAGAGAATGATTAAGTCACTTGCTCAGGGTCACACAAGTAGTAAGTGTCTGTGATAGAATTCTATGTTAGATTTCCCTAACCCCAAGTCCTCCCACCTAGCTGCCTCATTTGTAGATATGGGTTTATGCTCATCTCTCAAAATATGCAGTACCCTAAAGCCATGAAAGCTTATAAAATAACTTTTGTTTAAGGAATGGAGATATACATATATATATATATTTGGAGAAGACCCAAATCTCCTCACTCGGCCTTTAACAGATTGCAGTAGATTCTTTCAATGTTATAGGGCATAAAAATAATGAAAATAACCCTATATCTAAGAAGTGTTTACATGGTGCCACTCAAATTGATCTGTGGCAATTTCTCTCATACAACTGAAACCTGAGTTTTCAGGAGTCTTGATTTTGTATAGCAGAACACAGTATGATGGCCTTCCAACATTCCTAGTGTTTCACAACATGCCATAAGAATCCCTATGACCATATGGTCCAATTCAGTCCAACAAACATTTTATATCAGGCCTGTGTACTATGTGCAATGCACTATGTTATCATAATATAACAATTTGTTATTGTTGTGGACCTGGGACTTCAGTTGTGTAGAGAAAATCTAGTGTGGAAAGTGTTGATGAAGACCTGAGTGGGGCACTGAGAGATTAAGTGACCTGTCCTTAGTCACTGCTACTATGTATGTATTAGAATATGCACATACATGCATGTACATCTAGTATGTATGTACTCCATGTAATAGCCAGTATATCAATAAATTCTGCAATTTCCATTATTATGGAATTAACAAAGGAAATTAAAAGTTTAAGTGATTATTATGGGTCTTTTTAAAAATTACAATGTTTTGTGGTTTTCCAAATAATTTTGTTTTCTTTTTATATTTTCTATGAGTAATACAAATTAACTACGACTGCCATGGAATTTTTAAAATGTAACAGAGAAACTGGTATGTGTCTAAAAAGCAAGCAGAAATTGCTTGGAAAATTTAAATGAATTAATGTCTTTATGAATGTTCTCAAGATGTCTTTTCCTTAGCCTTTGAATATTAAACTGAATCATGATCTGATTTAAAAATTAATTTGTAGACTTGGAAGTTTTGTTTGAAAATACCATAAAAACACTTAAGAACATTTTAATCTATCAAATCACATGTTTTTTTATATTGACAATAATTACAATAGGGTTTTATAGTTTTCTATATCTTTCAATTAATTGTGTAATGGTAAAGGTAAGACCTACTGTGGAATATCATATTATGAAGGCCCTCTTATTCTGGAATAATATTTTCATAAAGCATACCTTTGATATATGTGTAGATAATTATCAGAAAAATTTAATATAGATGAGAAACTAAATATGCAGGTTTGTAGCATTGAAGTTTCCCAGTCATTTTTTAGTGATTAAAAAAGTCTGAGATTTTTTCAATGCCTTTTGACATTTTTATCTCCCTTCAAATTCCTTGTGAATCACAGTCCTCACAGTTGTTACTTTAGTAAATCTTCTCTATGTACAGAGTCTACAATCCAATCACTTTTTATATTTTGTTCTCAGTAATGTCATTTATTTCCTTCTCTATAAGCATATCTGAGAGTAGGACATTAAAATCAAAATTTGATGGCTCCACCATCCTTGAAAATGATAAAATGCTCATCTAGAACTTATAACCTTTCCATCTTTCTCTTGTTCGATGTCCTACTTCAGGTTTATACCTAAGTGTTCTCAGGATTATTTTGCTTAGTTGAGTCTTTTGCCAGGCTTTCTTTAATATGGTTTTATCCTTTACCACTTCTTTCTGTTTCATAAGGTCATATTGTTCATAATATTCCACCATCTTTCTCTATAAGATGTTTTTTACTGTAAATTTTATGCAAAACTTAAATTTAAATCAGTTTCCCTTTATTGCCATAGCTCTCTTCTTGGTTAAGAGTCACAGTAATTGCTGAATAATGCAGTTTGTAGGCTTTTTTGACCTGTATGTCATGGCATTTAATTCACATTAAAATTGTTTTCTTTGTCCTTTCTTCCATCAATATCCCATTTTTGTATCAATAATTTGCCTAAATAACTGAAGCTGGAGTTGTTTTAATTGGATGAAATATCTATTCCTAACCTTTATTCTTCTAGCTTTGTATCAAACATGATCCTTGCTCTGATGAATCAGTGATCTAAATGTATCTAGACAGCTTCTTCAGGAATGCTTCCCTCATCAGCAATAAATTACTTCCTATCTATTAAAATACAATTAATTTTATTTTTCTGTTGTTATTTAATGCTTGTCATTCCTGCCTCCCTCAGTTCTTTTCTTTTTTAAAGAAAATAGTCATGATATATAAAGATAAGGTTTCTGCAGAGTCTACAAATCTCTAGCTTCTCGTCCCTTACTCCTGATATAATTTTCTGAACTAAAATTTTGCCTTGTTTATATACTCTCATCTTTGTATTGAAGTAACTCAGTTTTAAAATATATATGTATTTAGTTTGGCAAAAGTGATAAAAAAAAGTAATTCTACAGGGGCTTTGGGAATATGGGCACAAGTTTGTGTTTTGGTCGAGCCGTAAATTGGTTCAAATGTTTTCAAAATTATTCTAAAAAGTTACTAAATTCTGCATGCCCTTCAGACCAGTAATATGATGATTAGTCATAGACACTAGAGAGGTCAAAGATAGAGAATATTAATAGCATCATTTGTGTCAAACAAAGATAGATGCCCATAGATTGGAGAATGACTGAACAAATTGTGGCATGTGGATTGATGAAATATTATCACACCCTAAAAATAATGAATATGAAGAAATCAGTACAACTTGAAAAGATTTGGAAGAAATACAGAGAGTAATAGAACCAGGAGGTTCTATTTTACATGATTACCACAATAATGTAAAGTAAAAACAGCATTGAAAGACATCAAAACTCTGATAAATGTGGTGAATTCAGATATCCCAATGGTGAAGAATGCCTTTCTCTGTTTAGAGGAGCAAAAGGAATACAAGTGTGGAATGAGATATTTATTGTCAGATGTGGCCAATATGTTATATTGTTTTACTTAATATTGTGTAGAGAGGGAACATAGTAGAATGAATCACTGGAAAGGATAGACTTTTTTTTTTAAAGAGTACCAATCAAACTTTAAAGAAAGTTGACAAGAACCAACCAAGCAAAATCCTTCTAAGGGAATTTAAGGATGAAGTATGAAAAACAACAACAAATAGATGGAATATGGAAAAGATTTATGAAGATTTTTATAACAAACTCTTTTTGCCATCACTGACAGAGCAGTCACCACATTTGGAATCTAACATCACAATCACCAATGTGCTGCGTGAGAAAGTGGAAATAGTGTTGAAGAATGCAAAGATGGGAGAAGCAGCTGAACTAGACCATGTATACACAGAAGAGGTCCATGCTCTAGAAAACACAATTTTGAGGGCATTGAGGGATCAACTTTCAAGGTAACCAAAAGATGGGAGGATACCAAAAGCTTGGAAAAAAATCTAGAACCACATTATTTACCAAAAAGAAGCCTAATGAGAGAATATCAATGATTGTTGACCTATATATCTTCTTTCTCATCTCTCCATAAATTTTATAAGAATAATATACATACATCAAGGACATTTTTGATGTACATTTAAGATGATGTGTTTCCACAAATGATACTCTATTTCAGATTACATCTTTGCTATTACATTCTTGACTTGAAAGGTGCAGAGGACATGTAATTGAATTGTGAGTTTTCTTTCTTGAATATAAAGAAGCATTTTATATGGTAGAAGATGCTGACTTACAGCTTGCCCTGTAGAATGGCATCTCTCATGCACATATCAAAATCATTAAGTTTTGTTCAAAGATAAAATATAAGAAAATTTTGTTCAATCTTGTTATTAATAATAAAGACATATATTGATGTCCAGTATAGGATACAAATTGGACAGTTTCCTTATAAATGGTGAAGTCATCCAGAAGCTCCTGTTTATGGACGGTATTGTGCTGAGTTCCTCAAGCTCTGGAATGTTGCAGAGGCTCCTAACTGAGATCCACAATTACACAAAGAGTTCAACCTAACTATCTACGAAAGAAAAACTGAAAGAATGAAGAAGGTCTGTTAACCACATTATGGTATGAAATCTGATGAATAACTCATAGAGCTATTCCATTTGTGTGTGTATATGCATGAATACATATACATGCTGCCTCAACCAGATGCCATGAATGGACACTAAGCAGGATGAGAACAATTTATTGCTTTTGGGAAGTTGTGACATGCTTTTAATGATACCAAACTTTTCCCTGAAAGAGAGGTCTCTCTTTTTTAATAATAAAAATATTCATATGATACTGGAAATTGCAGAACACTATACTATAATCTCCAAGAATTAAAGGGCAAGATCACCCAAATGTCAGTGAAGAGACATGTGGTAGATGTAAAAAGTTTGCAATGTATCACTAAGGAAAGATTTTACAGAAGTGGTTTAAAGATTATCAGAGAGATATGTGAGCAAAAATAAGATGAACAGTTATGTGAGAAGATGAGGAGAATAGTACATGGTTGCTTCTCATGCTTTATTGGCATCTTCACATGTCAAGACATCTTGAAACAATCTTTACCTCAACACTGGATGAACTCTTTTTGGAATATTTATAGGACTACATTGGTAAGAATTATCCAGGATGAGAAAGCACGAAGGGGTTGCAATCCTCATTGTTGGAGTATCATCATCATAAAGAACATAATCCATCAAAATGTCAAAGTCATCATAGAGAATAAAAAGTTGTGAAAAAATAATTAATAAATGTTATTGGGAAATTGGTTAGTAAGTCAGTGCAAAATGGATTCAGATGCAAATTTCACATC